AAAAAAATTTAAACTGCAGTACCAAGGTCAATCACCAGGTGCTCAAAGTCAACCTACACAATCTCCAAGGCCCCATCCATCAATCTGCCAAATATCATACAGTTCCTTCTCACCGATCTTCAGATATCAGACCAAACATGAAACGGAGTAAAAACAATACCCCCCATTTACATGGAGGGTAAAAATCTTAGGAAAAATTTTAAAATATCCTAAGGACCACCGACAACCGCTCACAACACCGTACTTTCCTTTTTAAAATGCGGGAAATTGCGTATTTGAAGGCTTGATATGGTTCTCCCCTCCCCAAATCTGATGATGAACCTGGGCTGCTGTAAAAAAATTTCAAGCCGGCTATAGCCCTGACGTTAAGGTAATTAAAAGCAGCCATGGTCAATTAAAGTAAAGCATAATGCCTTTTTAAAATTACTTCAAGTAGCTAAGACATTTACTAGTAAGTTATAGTAGTAACGTACAATGTATGGCTTATTTTTTTGTTTTACCGTTTTATAACCAAGCACACCAGGTCATCCCTGTTTTGGGTTCTTTTACATGTTTGTGCACTTAAGGATTTTACTTCTTGCATGATCATAGTCGAATTATTAAGTCCAATGGTCACACAAATGCAATGTTGGTTGCTTAACAGTCACTTATTTATATAATTTATTATTAATCAATTAATTTTTCAGTCAATTTTAATGACTATATTCAGTATATTGTATTACCTTATTGAAGTCCACATCAATGATAGAAGCTCCACACTCTTCACAGTCTTCTGAGGCCGACACACTCACTTTGTGAGCATTCTCAAACACATTGATTACAACATTACACCTGAAATTTAAAATACACCACATAAATGTACAAGGTATATTTAAGCCAAGGTACTGGAAACTAACGAAATTATAATTTATTAAGTACCCAAAAGCTGTATAGTGAATTGCTCTCACATTTACAATTAACAAATTATACTGAGTAGACATACATGTACATGTATACAATGTATCGGTTACCCTGATCAATCAAATCTAAACTTGACTTAAGCCTCTCTTTTCAGTCCCTTCCACACATACTAGTAGCCAAATATGGCCCTCTAACAGGACAGCTGAATCTTAAGGCATGCACAACTACATATATTAATTATTATTATTCCAAAAATGGCCCCAGTTTACATGCATAGCATAATCATAATATTATGATGAACAGGGGCTTTAGCACCTGGTTTTCTTTTAGAAAGCCATTCACAATGCTTGAAGCTACACCTACAGGATCATATGATGAAATATAAAGTCAAACACAATAAGAGGTCAACCCCCTTTGTTACAATAATATTATACATTCAGATGAAAGAAAAAATATTTCAGTTCTAAATCACGGGATAGGGGGCTCAAATAGCCTAGCGATAACTACATTTTGTTTTTTAAATGATGTACAATGTACCACATTTGTGGAAGGATTCATATAACAGGTGACTATTCAAGATGTCTTCAAGATGTCAAACCTGAGACCGGACTGTAAGGTTTGAACCACTCACACCGGGAAGGTTCTCTACTCTTTTCGAATGTGGTGGGTTCTTTAATGTGCGTGGGGTGTGGCTCTCCCCAAACACGGGTCCTCCATTTAAAGTCCTATCCGAGGGACGTCCCTAACCAAAGCTAGGTACTCATTTACACCTGAGTGAAGTGAGGAAAGTAGTGTTATGTGCCTTTCCCCAAGGGCACAAGATCGGTGATACCGGGCAGGATTCAAACCCGGGACCTCTTAGGCTAAATGGGCCGAACACGCTACAGCTACGCCACCCGCAATTTTGTATGATGATGAACAGGACTTACTTGTTGCAGGCCATTTTCCACTTTGGTGCGGATGTCTGGTCCATAACGAGCACTCCGTCCTCACACTCCACACACTGGGCCACTCCGTTGTTGATGAGAGACTGGGTACAGGTGGGGTGGGTACACTGGTTACACCCCATCGCCTTCTTCATGTCCGGGAAGGGGGGGTGGTTGAAGCAGTAGGGGCACAGGGGGTAGGTCTGAAATAGAGGGGGTATACTAACAGATTGTACATGATATTTTTTTCTAATTTTTTTTTTTATGATGATTGACCACAATAATTTTGTGAAAGGATAACAGGTGACTGTCACCTTTTCAAAGATGTCAACCCTGAGACCAGACTGTAAGGTTTTGAACCACTCACACCGGGAAGGTCCCCTACTCTTTTCGATAAGTGCGGTGGGTTCTTTAATATACATGGGGTGTGGCTCTCCCCAAACACGGGACCTCCATTAAACGTCCTATCCGAGAGACGTCACTAGCCAAAGCTAGGTACTCCTCTCCACCTGAGTGAGGTGAGGGAAGTCGTGTTAAGTGCCTTTCCCAAGGGCACAAGATTGGTGGCATTGGGCAGGATTTGAACATTTGACCATTTGAGTCTGGGCCGAAGACACTACCGCTAGGCCACATGACCCCACATGATAGCCTGGTATCCTATGGGACAGAACTCTCTCTACTTCCCTTCCCACATTTTTTACACACATGGTTATAACTTGTTTATTTCTTGAGCAGATCTAGAATTCGTGTAAATCGCATTTGAAAGTTGTAAGAAAGTCATCTGTGGATATCTATGATAACACACCACAATATTCTAATTACACAAAACCCTACATGCGTTTCACGTGAGAAATAAATGCACATACGAGACAATCATAAATTTGGTATGACTTACCAAAGAGAAATTTTATTTTGAAGAAATAATCAAAAAAGGTATTTTGTTTAAATGTGATGACCGAGTAACGTATTTCATTTTTACTTCAAGTTTCAAAGTTGAACTTTGAACTTTGTCCCCATCACACCCCTACCCTTTGACCTCTCACCTTGCCCTTTGACCCTGTGGAGAACAGGACCAGTTCAAACTCGTCCAGGGGACATTTGATCTCCTTGTACAGCTTGACGGTGCCGCCCTGCGGGAGGTTGTAGGTCTCGTCACAGGTGGCACAGTGCAGGCGGCTGGGCTTGGCCTGGACGTACTTCATAAACCGGCGACACTTCCCGCATCTGTGGTAAAAGGTAGCATTAATGTTTGCTGGTGTGTCTGTATCTTTATGTCCTACCTGGGCCGCGATTACGTTCGATACGTGTGTTCCGGCCCGTGTGATAACTAGCGGTACGGCCCGGGGGTTCTTAACGCTTATGGCCCGGGGCTCCCAAATGTTCCATTATTTATAGAACGATTCGAACGTGTTTCGCCCTGACCGCTTGCACCCCTTTCGAAAATTTGAACACGAAATTCGGACGTAGGAATTGATGTTGTTGCATTTTTTGGGACACCAAATTTTTGCCCATTTTGCATTAAAAGGCACGTTTTTCTTGGGTCGGGCTGGTACCTCGGGCCATACGGAATACACCGTGTTGTATTTTACATGTATATGTATCAGTATAACTGGTATAACCACTCTTCGGCATAACACACCAGCTTTGAAGGCACGTGGTATGGCAGCAGCTAGCTATACTACACCGAACGACCTGTTTCACTCAATCCCAATCATTAAATTGCAGGAGCTGTTTAAAGCTTTCTAGTCATGATACCCCAACTGTGCTTAGTGGCAACGAGTTCCACTCTACAATATAGTTCTTGTAAAATATACAAGTTTGTACAAAGAGTAGTTTGACAGCAATTATGTGGGCATGTGGTAAAAAGATAAACAGGCAGAATGACAGGTTGAAATGTAGAAGGGATGGATCGACAATGTAAGAGAGAATTTCTACTTGCTACATTACGTGTATCCACAGGACAGAGGCACAAGCCTCAGCATACACGTGCATGCAAGCACGAAACAGAGAACAACGTATGGTAAAATAAGCACATCGGCAGAACATACGGTACCTGCACAAGGCCAGGATTTTTTATGGTTTTAACAGGGATATGTACGGTTTTCATACTATTGTGTTTGGTCATCAAGGTTGTGTTTGGTCATCAAAATTTTGGCACACGTCACGGCTTTTGGATCTGGAAAGTCCCCCCAAATTTCCTGTCTACTCTGCAATTATAGTGCGCCTGTGAGTCAGAACGTAAGCAAAATAAAGTTGACTTCAAGTTGAAGTCATACATAACTTGTAGAATGACAGGTTGAGACAGTTCATCCTCTTTTCGACATAACTAAAACAAAAACTATATGAAAATCTACCCACAGTGAGCGAAACAATAAGAAAAACGAAGGTTGAAGTTCATCGGACATTGCTACAGATCTAGAAGTGAAGATGAAATCATACACCAGTTATTACTGTGGGAGCCCACACATGGAAAAAGAAGTCGAGGTCGTCCAGCCAGAAACTACATGTATATTAACCAATTAATGGACGACACCCAGCTCGACAGGAAAAACCTGATGGTAGAAATGAATGATAGGAAGAGATGGAGAGCAGTCATTGGCACCGAGGGAAGCTCGACCCTGTAAGTGAGTGAGAAAACAAAAAGAAGAGTTAATTTTGAGGCCTGGAGTGAGCGTGAGTGTACTACAGGGCAGACAGTATACTATTAGATTTTGCCATAGGGACACATGCTTAAATACACTATTTGAAGTCCTCATGAAAGTACTTGCCCATACTTCAATCTCAGACATTTTTCTGCACCAGGTAGCCACAAGGGTCTGATTCCTAAATTTGCAAAATATAGAAAGGAAACAGGGGGTCGACCAGGTCAAATTCCCGCCACAGCTGATGATAGAACAAAACTTCAGCTTTGACCTGATTTTCCATGGTATCCATCCGCCTGGCCAGACAAGACCTAACCACTCACATCTCTCATTAAGCCCACTAAACTGGTGAAATAAACAAAACTTGATCAAAGTAAGAAAGTTTAGACCCCAAAAATGGACCAAAACTTTCAAGAGAAAAAAAGGGTTTTCAAAGGTATTAACAGAGTAGGCACTACAATCGTGTTCCCATTTTGAGGCCTCTACTGCGCAACGCAAAATTTAATGTGGCCTACATGTACCTTGACAGAGGCTTTCCGCTGGCCGCCAGGGGAGAAAAAGACACCTCAAACAGCTGGTCCATGTCAGAGATGGAGTCCACGAAGTAGTGGAACTTGAGGCGGAAGATGTCCAGAGCGTGCTGCAGCACGGCGTGGAAGTTAGCCTTCCCCTGCGCAATCAGGTTCAACTGGGTCTCCACAGCTGACCGCATGTGGGGCAGCACAAGCTCAGGGTCAATCTGGAGAAATACATTAAATCTATTTATTTAAATTGCCAACACTGCAATACAGTGGAAGTCCTGGCAGCATCAGAGCTGATGTCGGGCCCCACATTATGAAATACATACATCATACATAAACATACACACATCATAACATAATAAAGTCACAAATCACAGAAATCTCTTATACTTACCATCCATGACCTAGGCTAATGACAGTATAAAAAATATAACTCAGTATGGTTGGAAGCCAGAGTTCATTCAAATATATAATATTTCAATATTTACAGTGTTGTACGAATACATGATAGAAGAAGAACTTTATTGCATGACAATTGCACATGGTACAATGCATGGCAACAACTTATGAACATAGTACCAAAAAAGTATAGAATACGACCTAAGGCCACACCAATTTAATTTGTTGGTTCTCAGGTTTTTCAGAAAAAATATGAAGCCACAGGAGAAAAAAAAAAGATAAAAACAGGTACACATGTACTAAGGCCACACCAATTTAATTTCTTGGTTAACGGATTCGCCTCTTCATTTTTTCCTGATTTGCAAATAAAAATAAAAATTCAGAATCAACTGCAAAATGCTCATATTTTGCCCTGAACAGTTGAAAACAGTCCTTTTCTTACTACTTGTTATGGTCATTCCATCTTTCAATGCAGTGCTACCATTAAAAGTTAAAAATTCATTGTTTAAATTTTGAACCAGCCTGGTGTGTTGACTTCATGGCTCCTATCATACCATTTTGGGCCATAATAGGATGCCTAGGCCTGTTTTTATTTTTATTTTTTTTTCGCCCGCCCGCTCCATTATTTTTCTGGAAAAATCCGTTAACCAAGAAAATAAATTGGTGTGGCCTAATAGCCTAATAAAAACAGGTCATCCTATTATAGCCCCAATTGCTAAATGCTTCGATAGGACTAGGAGCTATGAAGTCAACACAAAAGGCTGGGTTCAAATTTAAACAAAATGAATTTTGAACTTTTAATCAAACCACTGCATTTATTGATAGATGGAAAAACTGTAACAAGTACATTTGTAGGAAGAAAAGGACTTTCCTCAACAGTTGAGGGCTAAATATGAGCATTTTTGAGTTGATTCAGAACCAGAATTTTTTTTTGCAAATCAGGAAAAAATGAAGAGGCGAATCCGAGAACCAACAAATTAAATTGGTGTGGCCTAAAGACACTCTTTTTACACAGCCAAGTCATATCACGCACACATGACATATCACGCATTTTTGTAAATATTTTAAATATTGTATATTTGGGAATGCATTCTGTAGCAGCGACACCTGTGCTGTAGTGCCTGAAAAAAAAGAAAAATAGATAATCCCTACCTACCAACCCTAATTTTGTCAGGACTGAAACAGGAAAGACAACATTTCTTTTTCCTATGCCTTACGAATAAAATTAAAACATAACAATACAATACAATACAAGACATTAGTTATGTAGTTTGTTGAAGTAGACCATGTGAACTAAAGAAGGTAAACATTTTACTTAGTTTGCAAATGTGACCTTTGTAGTAAGACCCTCACCTTCTGATACCCGTGTACCAACACGATGCCCAGTGGGGTTGGGATCAGTTTCCTTCCCCCTCCAACTGTCACGTAGTTTCTCTGGCAGATGTTGTTGATGTGCACTGGAAAATGATGTAGACAAATTCAGACTGATCAAATTTCAATGGACAGATGCTTCACCTTGGGTTGATTGTCTACCTTTTGGAGGTGAATATTCATTTAACTTTAAAAGGTAAAGGTAGTCTCACAGTCTTTTTGAGGCCATAGGGACAGTCTGGGTTGTTAATCCACTGTGTCTACACAGGGCCTGAAATTCACTTTGACTAATGTGTAATGTATTGTGCTCTGGTAAACCAAATTGCGCCGGTGGCGCAGGGGTTAAAGCGTTGGACTCAGATCCAAGAGGTCCTGGGTTTGATACTTACCATGCCCTGACACTGTGGCCTTGGGAAAGGCACTTTACATGACTTCCCTGACAGTGGAGTGATGCCCACTGAGCCTCTTTGGCTATTCTGTCAAAATGCGTGCCAATTAAAAATGCGTCAATGTGCCAACATCTGCACATTTGCCACCAAGAGCCATACCGACTTAATTTTATGGATGACATCCACATGCACATTGATTTTTGCCTACAAAAAAAAAAAAGGTCACGTCCTCTGAGGCTCTGGCCTGGCTCTAGGCCTGGGTAGTCCATGGTAGTTAGTGACGATACCAAGCCGGTGGTAACTCTGGAGGACGGCACCCAGGCTACCGAAGCTCCATTACGTACAGTGCCGATTCATAAATTACACAAAAAGCCAGCATGTGCCGGCTTGCCGTATACGTCGCTATGTACTGCCGCAAATTCACAATACCTGCTTTATATTCCTGTGGTTTTGTAACATTTTATTTTCGGTCGGAATTTTTTGTTATTCGCCCGCGCACACTAGTTTGGGGGTCTTCAGGGGATGTCATCCATAAAATTAAGTTGGTGTGGTCTATGTTCTAATTGATGCTTGTTAGACAAGACTTGCTCAACAAGTTATTATTTATGTCAGTTCAAATATTTGTTTACTGTTTTGGTACTTCAATTTTGTATTGATTGTAAAGTACATCAATTATTACTTTAATTTATTTCATACATATTTGACCTCTGATCTCCAATTCATTTTTTTTTCTCTATGATTGATTCTGTTTCAAGTTTGTGATAATTTCAGTATGATTTGTAAGTTTTATTTATTATTATTGCTAAAGGAATTATTATCATCATCATCATCATCATCATTATTATCATTATTATTGTAATTTCATTTTATGTTGCTGGACTCCAGGAAGAATAGTATGGAGTTAACTTCCATACTAATGGAGATCTTAATAAATAAAGAAACAAACACAGTCCTGAGCCTCACCAGGTATGCTGGCGTCTGTACCGATGCCGTGTTTCTCCATCAGACTGATCAGTTCTGCCTCTGTCAGGTAGTCAGGAGGGCTGGTCTGTTTCTCAGCAAGCTTCACCTGGGAAGGAGAAATTATATAGCATATACATGTAGTGGGGTACGTCGATGAAGGTTAGACATCCAGGTAATACGATAGCCAAAAAAAAACAGTTACTCAAGCAACTGGATATGATTTTGAAAACGTCAGATGTTTCAGCTAGTATCCACTAGCTTTCGTCAGTGACTGAGAGACCAG